GAGCATAAAAGCGCATCATTGTATTTTTGATTTAAATGTAAAAGACATATCAGAATGCTGGATCATTTCAAACATTGGGTTAATGTTTACATAGTAACATTTCTCTTCTTGTGCTTTAACCTCGACAGACTGGTGTAGAGTAACAAGACTATCAACAAATGTACACCATGTATTCCGGCTCATGCATGCTCTTTCTAGTACAATGTGTGTGAGACGTTTCATTTCTGATGTTACAGTTAGAGCGTTTTCTTCTATATTGACATACCCTAACGCGAGTTTCCTAAGCTGATGTAGAGTATGTACTACATTTCCTACTCGTTCACTGTATTGAAATTTATTGTCTGATTCACCTTGTAAGGAGAGTTCAGTCAATCTGTTAGCATTTAGGAAAATATCAGATTCTAATATTCCAGGGCAGTGTTCAATATGTACCTGTTCAAGTTGTTCAGTGTTCATGTGGGAAATTTTTAATTGATCACAATATTTCATAATAAGTTCTCGTAATTGGTTTTGCTTAGAAAGATCTACTACATGTATACAACCTCTAATAATAGGTTTATTGTCAGACACATACATCAAAGTAAGTTGTCACAATGGTGATTAATGTAATAACGGCACTAGAATTGCCATGTTAACAGTCACACCATCAAGGTGAAGTGCCATGAGTTTGCTGATGTTTGAGTGGTTGCCATACATCACTGTGAGTTTGAATCACGACAGGGACTTTGGATTCTTTCATATGAGGAAGCTATATAGCTAGCTACCGTGGTTCTACTCAGGTGTCTGTTCGTGGCCTATAAGTTTCAGAAAATATAACTTAACAAAAAAATTCCTAAACAAACAAGCAAAAACCCTTTACATTTCTTTGGCATAATGGACGTTAAAGCATTTTTTCCGCAACTCTTCACAGTTTCAATCATTGTTCTTAACAAATATGAACTCTTGATGTACATTTCAATGGAAAATAAGAGTTTCATATATATAATTCACAAACAGGTATTTATAGCTGTTTTTGATACCGGTGGTTCTGCTAAGATTCCTGTTCGTGCCTGAAATTATGCAGGGAGGGGTTCCACGGATTTTCTTCCATCAGTAAAGGCGGAGTATTGCCATATCACTTATACTGTGTTGGTGCAACGAACATGAAAAAAACAAAAACAAAAAACAAAAAAAACAAACACACTTTCGGACGATATTTAGGGATAATATAGTTAATTGGTTTATTCCTCCTGTCGTTTAGTTATGTTGCAATGGGGATATAGAAGTCTATTTTGACAAAGATCAAGAATAGCTTTTTCCATCTATGTATTTTATTTCTGAATATATAATGCAAATTTACTTGGACAAGCTAATAACAAATTAAACAATAAGAAATACTATAGCTGTACCTCCGTCGTATAAATGAGCAATGTCTGGCAATTTTGATTCTTATGGTCTTAAAATCTATTTTGAAAGATTTGCCTTTTAGAAATATTTCTACCTGAACAAAAGTAATATATAGTATACGTTTAATAAATTAAAGTATGTCAGAGAATATTGTAAACCTCAATATATATGATATAGTAAACAAGATAGTTTCTAAAGCAATTAGATAAGACATTTTCCCCCACAATGATCAAAGTTGCTAAACATGTCTTTATAATTGTTAAAATGATAATATTGAAATATGGATTATCCAGTAAAATCATTATAACTTTTTACATAACATATGCTATGTTACACTAAATTACATATGTAACTAATTATTTAACATTTAACATCATGCATTGAAAATGTGAATGACAATTCTTTTATTCGCTTTACACTCATACTTTATGAATATCTTAATAAGTGTTTATTTTAAACAATTATTGATATGTTAATTCATTAACATACTCATACTTTTTCAAATTATTAACATGAAATACAAATATGGTAAAACATCCAATACTATATCACACCATTTGAGCATACTTTCCATTTTTCTAAACATAGCAATTGATTTATAGCAACTGATTTTATGCTTTTTTTATGCGCTATTTGTTGACATGATAATATTGAATTTGTAAAATCTGTAACAGTAATATGTAAAATCATAATATAAATTTTACAAAATACACAGCATTATAACCTAGCATTCAAAATTTCTAAATATCTATATCTTAACTTCATAAAAGTATATCGTACAGAAAACCTTCTTTACTACATCTCAAAACCTTTTTAACATCCTTAGTACTCTCCTTACGTCTAATGTTTAGCGTAAAAATATAGCAAGCGAATTTATGAGATCGTTATAGTCTCATTATATAAGGTGTATATAACAAGTGAAGTATTAATTATTACACTTAACATCATTTATTTATGATATTACTTTCAATATCATATCGCAAAACCATTTCAACATACTTTCTTTTTTTCAAATGCACAACGTACATACAATCATAGCAACTGATCTGCATTATTTGTTGACATAATTATATTGAACTTATAGAGGATATTGAATGAGAGTAATTTAATACTAAATTTATTGAGGAGTTGAATAAAATCATATTATGAGAGCCTCTGGTTCAATAAATTTAGTATTGAATCTACACGAATATAATATCATATTTATCACATAATATAAAATAAGAACAGTACACTGTTAAAATGGGTATTTTTTCAATGACGCGTCTATGGTGTAACGCTAACATTAGCGCGCTTATACGCTATGTTTTTATATAGCACAAATGACGTCACGTCAAAGTGTTATCACACTAGTGTAATATCGCTTTTATTAAATGGCTTTATTACACTCCTGTGCCGCGGTTTATGTTATAAATTTATATTCGTGTAGCTTTATCACTAAATTTATTGAACTTGTTGAATAAAATAAAATTAATCATGCCAGAAGCTTGCATGCTATAATCTTATTTAACGTGTTCAATATTAGTTAATTCCGTAATGAACCAATATTCATTCACTATACTCTATATATCCACAGGCAAAAGTATCGGACCTGGGAAGAAAAAATATGACCAAATTGATAAAAAAAAACCTGTGTTCATCTTAAGAGTGTCAAAAAAAACAACAAAAAAACAAAAAATGTATATATAATGACCCCCTTTGAAAATATACTATAAGTTAAGAGAAGGCCGGAAACTCCAGATTCGAGCCTACGAGCAAGGGATTCATTTCCCGGGCCGTTGTGAAAACAATTGGCCAGACAATTAAAAAAAACTTTTATCACTATTTCACGTTTATATAAAGCTTCAAAATGAGACTAACCCCAAGTCTCTAGCCCTTCCCGTTCATGAAATATTTATCAGGAAACGAGCGACTTCGTGCTAAAAATCCTTGGTAGACATAATTGCGGCACAACAATTCGGTACGTAAACATAGACTAATACATGTATGTCAGCTGACTACGGGTCAAAATTACTTGAATTTACTAAATAATATTACTAAATACATTAAGTTGGACCACTCACAACCGTCAGTAGCATCTAATACACACGAGATTCGAGTTTCAAACATTTACACGGTCTTTCAATCGCTTTCTACGCCATTAGGCATCTTGTGTGAAACGTTGCGGTTTTCGTTGCTATTGCCAATCAGAAGGACTCGTTACAAAATATCGAACAGCTGATTGACAATGGCGTAGAAAGTAATCTAAAGACCGTGGAAAGGTTTGAAATTCGAATTTTGCGTGTATCAGATGCTACTGACGGTTGTGAGTGGTCCAACTTAATGTATTTAGTAATATTATTTAGTAAATTCAAGTAATTTTGACCCGTAGTCAGCTGACATACATGTATTAGTCTATGTTTACGTACCGAATTGTTGTGCCGCAATTATGTCTACCAAGGATTTTTAGCACGAAGTCGCTCGTTTCCTGATAGATATTTCATGAACGGGAAGGGCTAGAGACTTGGGCTTGGTCTCATTTTGAAGCTTTATATAAACGTGAAATAGTGATAAAAATGAATCCCTTGCTCGTAGGCTCGAATCTGGAGTTTCCGGCCTTCTCTTAACTTATAGTATATTTTTAAAGGAGGTCATTATATACATTTTTTTTGTTTTTTTTGACACTCTTAAGATAAACACAGGTTTTTTTTTTTATCAATCTGGTCATATTTTTTCTTCCCAGGTCCGATACTTTTGCCTGTGTATATATCATAATGTAACATTTAGTTTGTAGAAAAACCGGCCACCAAAAATCCAATGACTTAGTACATAATAATAGTTTCCTTCTGGGTCTACTTTTTAATATAATAATTACAGGGGTGTCACGTTCAATCATTTAAACGGATACGGTCGGTTTTTTAGCTTAAAACTGGTTCGAAAACTCAATAACCGGTGAACGACGTAGAACAAGACAAAGAGCCAGAAAAACAATTAAACTGAAGAACCAGAGCTTATTTGTAACAAGATTGTTTGTATTTTAGTTGTACTCAACAATGCCCTTTTGTCGATACCGCCGTAACGGAAAGTAGTTACTCCATAATAAGAAATTCATTGTAATCAATATAAAGTACTAGAAATTACATATTTTTGTCATAAAGAAGCAAAGTAAAATATGAGGATTCTATTTGTTCTGTCGGTTGAACGTGGAAAAAAGTTATCAAGCCGCCGTTTCATCGGTTATCGTTTTTGCAAATCGTGTCAACCCTTATAAAAATGCATGACCCCTAAAATTTACTATTATTCAGAATCATAGATAAAGCTTATGTTAAACAAATGCTCGTACAACTTAAAAAATGCAGTTACGTTATAATTATTTAAGTCAGAAAACACTTTAAATCCAGTAAAATCTGTCCTAAAAGACAAAACATAAATAGAGGATAGTGAATGAGAGTCAGTTTCATACTGAATGTATTGAACGAGTTGAATTAAATTATATTATGCAAGCCTCTGCGAGCATAATATTATTTTATTCAACGAGTTCAATAGATTCAGTAGATTTTCTAATAAACTTACACTAATTTTATATTCTATTCATCATATACCCAAAAATAAATACCGTTCAAGTGATAAAAAAAAACATTTTTTATTGACGCGTCTATAGTATAACGCTAACATTTAGCGCGTCTTAACGCTATGTTTATATAACGCAAATGACGTCACGTCAAAATATATGCACGACCGTTTTTACGGAGTCGCCCAATCGGCACTGGTATGTGATGAATTAGTTTACTATTAAAATAATAAATAGATTTATATTAAACAAAAAGCATGATCAAAGTATTGTAAATGATGTCTACACACAATTGTTAAACTTCAAAAATAAATTAGTCACTCAAACCTGTGAGCAAAGTCCATTCAAAGGAGAAACAGAACAAGAACTTTATGGACAAGTGGTCTTTATTTAAATTATTTATTTTAAATCTAACATATGAAGGGTTTTTGAAGAGTGGCCTTAATTACAGGAAAGTCTTTATTTGGAGGTGATCTTAAACACAAATTTGTCTGTACATTGTATAATAATAATTATGCAAGTCTTTTTTTTTAAACATTTTGCCACAATATTATTGATATGTCTCTTTTCAAACCTACTAATAAAATAAGGATGTCTTGTCACTATTTATAAACCAATCTATATTCCCCTAAAATATTTCAAACAAAAACACATCATATAACAAATTTAAATAAATAAATTTCTTAAAACATTTGGCTTGAATATTGCATGACAAATGATATAACATATTAACTATAGCATTGTTATTTGAAAACATGTGTAAACAATGCACTTTATTTTTTTTTTAAATTTTCAATTTCAACTCATATACACACAGAGACTTAGTCGTCGAAATTCAAAATATTTCACACATGTCAACTTTTTCTCAATTTTATTATATATAGTTTTCATACAACTTGTAATTCAAACACCAAATCAAATGAGAATGGCAGCATTACTTTTCAAAAATTATATTAGTAGAATTTTTCAAAGTCTTTAAGAATTATCATGAACTATTAACATAATCATTGAAAAGCAATTTTCCTCATCATTATTTTTTCAAAGAAAATGATAAATTCTACGCGGCCTGTCTGACCTGACAATTAATCTTAATTTACTCTCACATATCACTACAAACGTTGGATGAGTTAGAATATAATCATACAATTCTTTTACTCCTTCATTTATGTGCACTGTAACTACTTCAACAAACTGACCAAGGGTAAGAAGACTGTCAACAAATGACCGCCACGTGTCCATACTCATTAGTGCATTGTCTAATTTAATATGTGTAACACTCATCTCTGGTGTTACAGTAAGAGCGTTATCTTCTACATCTACATTCAGTAATGTGAGATTTCTAAGTTGATGTAAAGTATGTACAACATTACCAACTTGTCTACTGTATTGAAATCTACCAACATAATTATCTTGTAATATAAGTTCTGTCAGTCTGCTCGCATTTGATAAGAGATCAAAATCTAAGATACCAGCTGAAATATGTATACTCTCAAGGTTTTCTGTGTTCAGTCCAGAAATCCTAATATTCTTACAATAAGACAGATTTAGAATTTGAAGCCGACTGTGCTTAGACAGATCTACATGTGTAACATGCATGAAACCCTCATCATCACACTGATGAACACACACATGTGTCAAAATCAGTTCTCTTAAAGTGGTCTGCTGCAACAATGATATCAGTGATGCTTTATTACAGGTTAGTTTTTCAAGGTGAATTTCAATGAGTTTGCTGGTGGTTGATGGCGGTACAGAAAGGTAGAAATCGAGACTGCTGTCATTAATGTAAACATGTACTAGTTGTTCATTGTTTATGTTGGAAATTTGTATTTGACCACAGTGTTTAACCATAAGCTCCCTGAGCTGGTTCTGCTTAGTAAGGTACATCACATGCACATGACCATCCAGAGCCTGATCGTCAGACACATGTATTAACGTGAGTTGTCTTAAAGGTGCTTGTTGTATTATCAATACAAGTGATGCTACATTTACAGTAACTTTTTTAAGGTGAAGTTCAGTTAGTTTGCTTGTGACTGGTTGAAGATAAAGGTTTCTAATGTCTGAGAAAAAACAACCTTCAATTTCTTCAATGCATATCTGTTCAAGTTTTTCAGTGTTTAATCCTGTAATTATTAAATTAGGACACTTTACAAACTTTAGTTTTTGGAGATGATTCTGTCGAGACAAATCAATATCAATATGTTCCTCCTTGTAACCTTTTACATCATTATTGGTCAGTTCTAAAGTAGTCTGTTGTAATAACGATTTCTGTATTGCTTTATTAGAGGAACCAGCATGACCTTTAATGTACAGTTCCATGGATTTGCTTGCATTATGTAGCAGGTTCATATCTAATGCATGGAAATATTTATGAATATATACCTGTTCAAGTTTGTCAGTGTTTATTCCTGTAACAATTATATCAGGACACTCTACCAGCCTAAGTGTTTTGAGATGTTTATGTCCAGACAGATCAATATTATGATGTTTACCTTTGTTGCAACGTACATGATATAAAGTCAGTTGTCTTAACTGTACTTGTTGCAATACGGATGACAGTGATGTTAAGTCACAAGAAAAGTTCTCAAGACAAAGTTCAGTCAGTGTGCTGGCATTTGATAAAAGATTTAACTCTAATACATCGGGACATTCTTTGATGTGTACCTGCTCAAGCTGTTCAGTGTTCAGGGCAGACATTTTAAAATTATTACAATGGGACAGCTTTAGTACCCGAAGCTGCTTGTGTTTAGAGAGATTAATTACACTACAATTTTCCGGATTATCCAATTGAAAAGGATTTGCATCTGACACATGCATATACTGCATATTGATACAATTTGTGATATATTCCAACACAATTTTAACTGCTGGATTAAATCCCAAAGTCAGGGAAATCACATCACCTGGGTTGATGCTTTGTAGTGGAAAATTAATGAAATCAACAAGGTCAAGATTGCTTAGACTGATCATTGTCTTGTCATCAGAGCCACACTCTTTGAGACAATCTAACATTAGATTTTGTATAAGGTTAATCTCATCATCACATCTCTTTATAAACCTGTTTTGTCTAAGATGTAAAATGTGTTTATCCTTATTTACAATACACGAAATCTGTTTTGACAAATCAGTAACAATAACTGGGGACAAACCGCAAATCATTTTAATAACATTGGATAATTGTAATACGTCACTTGCTGATTTACATATTCCAAAAAGCTCATCTAAAACTAATACTTCCCTAGGGCTCTGTTTAACAGAGGCGGTTTGTTCCATGTTATAGGATGTTGTAACATACAATGCTGCGAAAAACTCAAGATATGAGATGTGGATAAAAGCGAGTTGTGTATCTTCAAGCGTCCGGTCATAACATGTACTTTCATTTAAAATACCAAATTGTGTTAGCTCATCGATAACACTATCCGATAAATCCTTTTTGATACGACATGTAAGGCCGCACGTGGCTTCTATGTCTGAAGTTATTGTTTCATATGCAATTCTACCTAGACGAAATAGGACATGATTGTTCTTCTTTAACCTAGGAAACCTTTGTAGTATTGCAGGTAGATGAATAGTCTTGCAATCTTCCTGAAACTGACTCGCATCGTTGTCATGCCCCTTTTTCTTGTGATCCGACCAGCCATACATAGTATTAAATATGTGACAGTACGTTTCGCTAACAGAATTTCCAAGTTCTATACCATTACAGTATAACCACAGCAGCTGTTGCAAAAGTAGTGGTGTCTTCTCCACATGATCAATATGTTTAGAAGTACAAACAGACATGAATTCATTACAAGACTTATTTGTTCCCGTTGATTCAGAAATGTATCGTTCAATGAATGACTTTAACGAATTTCTTGGTATACCTACTAACTGTAATTTGAGATCAATTTCTGATTTCTTTAAATTGAGAATTCCTTTTGCTGATGGTCTTGATAATGTAATAACTGTTGCATCTTGTGCCCGGTCTCCGTTCGGTATTCCGTAACTTACATGGGGTATATGCAAGCTTATTTTAGAAGGCCTCCATTCATCCAAGCTGTCAACAATGATAAGACAACGTTCTGACTCTTCTTGAAATATTCTGTCAATCAATTCCGTATTCAAAGTAAGATCTTTTGTTAATTCCTTTATCATATCAACAGTGGCGTCAGACTTAAATGCTGACATGTATTGAAGTTGTATAAAGAAAAGAAATTCATAATGTCCAACTTGGATGACATCATCTTTTATACCGCAGGATAGAGTTTCTGTTCTTTTAGACTTTTTAGTTACACCAGTAACAGCGTCACACCAGTTTTCAATCATCATTTTGCAAAAAGTAGTTTTTCCTGTACCAACATCTCCCAATATGTAAATCTTCTTATATCGCTGCCCTTTTGTTTGAACGTTTTCATGATATCCAATTTCATGTATCTTCTTTGTCCTATCTTTATCAATATTCACAGATTGATATACCTCGATAACTTCTATCTCGGGAGGTACATATACATCTATAACATTGGTACTATCTTCCTCTTGCTTTAAAGGAGAAAGCGATGTATTCACATAATACTTCTGGTAATTTCTAACAAGATTATCTTGTAGCTCTGTAAAATATAACACTTATAATGGTTATGCATCCTAATCTCGTACATATTAGACAAATCTTGTCTATAAGACAGGATTATCTTCTGTTTACACCGGTGCTAGAAAAACCTGTCTAAGACAGATCACGTGCTTTAAATGACGTCATTCCCGTGCTCCTTTAATGAGAATGATTTCATTTTGCCGTTATAAATAAAGATGTAAATATACAAGCTGCCAAAGGAAAGAAGTGCTGACTAAAACTATAAGTATTTGTAATTTCTTTCTGAAATATAATTAATGTAATATGCAAGAAAGAATCACCGGCTATCGTTACAGACTCAAATATTTAGCGCTCGGGTTATTGCTTAGTGGAAACTCAGCAGAGTCTCGTTACCGCCGTAAACAGTTACACTCAAGCTAAATATTTTGGTTTGCACAGGTAGCCGGTGTAAGATTCTTATACCTTGGTACTCTCGTTCATTTTTGCGGATTTTATTATTGTATTTGATTTATTTAGAATCTTAATAATACTTTTGCATTAACAAGAGGGCCATGATTGCCTTAGATCGCTCCCCTGACCCATCAACCACCTCCAAGCAATGTCTTAGACAAGTTTCCTGGCCAAGTTTGATGACAATTGAGTCAAAAATTAGAACTCTAGTGTGTTGAAAAAGTTTTTCCATATTTGGGCAGTGTGATCGAGCTTTTGACCCCAGAAGATCCATATTCAAACTTGACCTAGAAATCATCAAAACAAACTTGCAGACTAATTTCCAGGATATTTGTATAACAACAGTAGCCAGTAGAGACCTAACAAGATTTTCTATTTTTAGCTCTTGTGACCTAGTTTTTCATCAGAGATACCCATATTCGAACTCCTCCAAGCAATTAACTAGACAAGCATCCTGACCAAGTTTGATGAGAGTTGAGTCAAAATGTTACCATAAGAGTATTAACAACGTTTCTCCATATTTGGGCAGTGTCACCTAGTTTTTGACCCCATAATCAAACTGACCTAGAAATCATCAAAACGACCTTCCTGATCGATTTCCAGGAAAGTCCAGAGTCTAAGCAAGCTTTTTCTATTTTTAGAACCTGTGACCTAGTTTTTGACCAGAGATGACCCATCTTCGAACTTGACATAGAAATCATCAAAAAAACCTGCCTGACAAATTTCGAGAATATTTGAATCAAAACTGCAGCCACTAGAGCTTTTACAAGCTTTTTTTATTGTTAGCTCCTGTGACCTAGTTTTTGTCCGGAGATGACCCATCTTCCAATTTGACCTAGAAATAATGAAAACAACCTTCCTGTCAATTTTCCAGAAAATTTGGATCAAAACTGCAGCCACTAGAGTGTTATCAATATTTTCTATTTTTAGCTCATGTGTCCTTATTTTTGTCCAAGGATGACCCATCTTCGAACTTGACATTGAAATCATTAAGACAACCTTCTTGACAAATTTCCAGAATATTTGGATCAAAACTACAACCACTAGAGCGTTAACAAAATTTTTTTAGCTCATGTGACCTAGGTTTTGACCAGAGATGACCCATTTTCAACTTGACATAGAAATCATCAAAATAACCTTCCTGACAAATTTCCAGGAAATTTGGATAAAAAACTGCAGCCACTAGAGCGTTAACAAGATTTTTCTATTTCTAACTCTTGTGACCTAGCTTTTTACCGGAGATGATCCATATTCGAACTTCACGTAGAAATCATCAAAACAATCTTCCTGACAATTTTTCCAGGAAATTTGGATCAAAACTGCAGCAACTTAAGTGCGAACAATGTTTTTCTATTTTTAGATCCTGTGACCAAGTTTTTGACCAGAAATGACCCATCTTCGAACATGATCTAGAAATCATCAAAACAACCTACTTGACATTTTTCCAGAATATTTGGATCAAAACTTCAGCCACTAGAGCGTTAACAAAAAAATTCCATTTTTAGCTCCTGTGACCTTGTTTTTGACAAGAGATGACCCATATTCGAATTGACCTAAAATCATCAAAGCAATCTTTCTGACCGATTTCCGGGAAATTTAGATAAAAAACTGCAGCCACTAAAGTGTTAACAAGCTTTTTATATTTTAGCTCCTGTGACTTAGTTTTTGACCAGAGATGACCCATCTTCTACCTTGGTATAGAAATCATCAAATAGAGACATACAGAATCCCTAAAGAAAGCCCAACACGACAAAATTGAAAATGTTGCAGGCTCGGTTTGATTGGGCCTGTTCATGGAACAAAAAACATCAAACAACCCTCCCGACAAATTCGAATATTTGGATCAAAACTGCAGCCACTAGTGCGTTAACAAGATTTTTCTATTTTTAACTCCTGTGATCTAGTTTTTGACCAGAGATGACCCATATTCGAATTTATCCTAGAAATCATCAAAGGAACATACCTGACAAATTTCCAGAATGTTTGGATCAAAACTGCAGCGACTTAAGTGTTAACAAGCTTTTTCTATTTTTAGCTCCTTTGACCTAGTTTTTGACCGGAGATAAACCATCTTATACCTTGTGCTCGAAATCATCAAAATTTAATGAACCTTCCTGACAAATTTTCAGAATGTTTGGATCAAAATTGCGCAACTTAAGTGTTAACAGGTTTTTTTCTATTTTAAGCTCCTGGGACCTAATTTTGACCGAAGATGACCTAGAAATCATCAAAACAACATTCCTTACAAATTTCCAGAATATTTGGATTAAAACTGCAGCCACTTAAGTGTTAACAAGATTTTCCTATTTTTAGCTCTTGTGGCCTAATTTTTGACCGTAGATCACCCATCTTCAAACTTTACCTAGAAATCATCAAAATACTCTTCTTAATAAATTTCTAGAATATTTGGATCAAAACTGCAGCCACTAGAGTGTTAACAAGCTTTTTCTATTTTTAACTCCTGTGAACTAGTTTTTGACCGGATATGACCCCTCTTCGACCTTGACCTGTTTTTAAATGAGACAAACAATCTGACAAAGTTTGATAATGAGCCAATGAAAACTGCTAGAGTGTTAACAACCCAATTGTTGACGACGAACGACGCACAACGACGGACACCGGACATAGCCCCATCAGTATACCTCACCTTGACCACTTCGTGGTAAGGTGATCTAATAATGACCAAGGTTGTCGCAGAAATAAAGAGTAATAAGTTATAATTTTAGTAATTGAAAATTTGCATAGACAACAAAAGCTGTCACCAAAATGACGAATGCCCCCGTAAAGGTTTCTTAATCATGCAGGTATTATGAAAAGAAAAGAGAATGAAAGTAACTAATTGCTGAATATTGTTCTTTGTATTATTGTTCCTGTAATCTCCAATTGTGATAACATGAATCTTCAAAATATAAGTGTGACCTTGACCTTTGAAGAAGGGACGTGGTTCCTAAATGCGACAAAATGTGGTTATATGATAGACATTTGTGGCATATTATTTCAAAATCCCTCAATGCATTACAAAGATACAGTCTGGACATGATTGTTGTGTAAGTGGGGACGGACACACAGACAGACGGACATGAACCTTAGCCGCGGAACATGGTCTTGATGTGGTAGACATTTGTGGCAAGATATTTTAAAATCCTTCCATGTATAACAAAGTTACAGTCCATATATGAATGTGTATTCTTAAACACTTTTCGAGAGAATGAGTACCTTCAAACTATAAGTGTGATCTTGACCTTGAGTTAAGGATATGGGTCTTTGTCGCGACACATCGCCCTAATGTGGAAGACATTTATACCTCGTTATTTTAAAATCCGTCTATGCATGACAAAGTTACAGCCCGGACACGAATGTGTGTAAATATAAACTCTGATTGTGATAAGGTGAACTTCAAAATGGTAGTGTGACCTTGACCATTGAGGTAGGGACGTGATTATTGGACGCGACATATCGTTTATGTGATAATGTGAAACTTGTTAGTGTGACCTTGACCTTTGAGGTAGAGACGTAATTCTTGGACGGGACACATCGTCTTGATGTGGTAGACATTTATGCCTAGTAGTTTTAATAAAACCATTCCATGCATGACAAAGTTACTGTCCGGACACAAATGTGTGTACCTATTTACTCTAATTGCGATAATGTGAAACTTAAAAGTGATAGTGTGACCTTGACATTTAGGTAGGGACAAGGTTCTTAGACGCGACGCATCGTCTTCATGTGGTACACATTTGTGCCAAGTTATTTTAAAATCCCGCAAAGTATGACAAAAGTTACAGTCCGGACACAAATTAAGTAAGGACGCACAGACACACAGACGGACAGACGGTGCGATTATATTTTGTCTCCCTTCGGGGGCATAAAAACATATGGCTAAAGTGTCATATTTCATAACATTATTCCAAAATTTTAATATAAATAAATGACATATTCAAACTACCATCCCGCACATTGTCGTTTTGAAAATAAAATGTCATCAAAAGATAAAATTGCAACACAGGCAAGTACATTTATATGGAACTAGATGATATAAACGTTAATGTCTTATCAGTCAGAAAAAACAACATCTAGGTAAAGTATTCGCGTTGTTTATCATACCATAATTATAAACCATTACAGTGTTTTATTTTGTAAATACTGACTTACATTATCTACACACACGTTAACTGAGTTGGTTGCGGGTAGAACAATGTGCGATTGGTAGGTGCTTTTTTCTCCTGTAATCGATTGCTGCATATTATATCATAGAAAAATTATCTTTCAAAAGAGACAAAAAGAAGAATATATCCTGGTTATTCGGTTTGAAATCGATAATTATGTCTCCAAAAATGTTTGGGAGAAATATTTTGTTTTTGCCTTTGCCATCTGTCCATCAGTCCGTCCACATTAAGCTTGTCCGCCCTTCACATGTCAAACTACTGGTGGGATTTCAACAAATCTATAATGAGTGATCAGTTCTATCCTTAGATTTGTATGTCACCGGCACGTTCCGCTTCACCGCACAAAATGGCCGCCAGTGCTTAAGATAGAAAAGTTTGTCCGGCCTTCACAGGTCAAGCTCCTTGTAGGATTTTCACAATATTTTACAGGAGTGATCAGTACCCAGTAAATTTTCTCATATAATTGGGAAGAGGCCTAAGCCTAAGATTTTAGAGAAAATTACCGCTAAAAATGCTTATTTGGGATGTAAAAAAAAGCAGGTTAAGTTCAGATTTTTTTGGAAAACTGCATGATTTAAACAAAATTTCAATTGGGTAGATGACCTTTATCGGAGTCTGTTATATAAGCAGGAAAATCAGTGGTACCATCCTTAGGTACATGTCTTCGGCACAAAATGGCCACCAGAGCTAAAAAAAGAAAAATATTGTCCGACTATCACAAGTCAAACTATAGGTGGGGTTTCAACTAAACTTTACAGGAGTGATCAGTACCATCACTGGTTGTGCACATCACCAGCACATTCCGCTTCGTTGCAAAAAATAAGCGCTGGTGCTAAAAATAGAAAAGTCTTGTCCGGCCTTCATAGGTCAAACTACTGGTGGTATTTCATTCAAACTTTACAGGAGTGATCAGTACCATCCTTAGTTGTGCACATTACCAGCACTTTCTGCTACTAAAAATGGCCACCAGAGCTAAAATGGATTTTTTGTCTGGCCTTCTTAGGTGAATATACTGGTGGGATTTCAACCAAACTTTACAGGAGTGATCAGTACCCTTCTTCTTTTACAGATAGAACTGCTTATTGGATTTCTATGAAACTTCACTGGAGTGAACAGTACAATCCCTTGTTGTGCAAATCGCCGGCTTATTCCGCTTGGCTGCACTAAATTGCCTCTAGAGCTATAAACAGAAAAAATCTTGTCCAGCTTTCACAAGTGAAGCTGCTGGTGGCATTTCAATGGAAACTTGAAACAATGTTTAGTACCATCCCAGGTTGTGCATATCACGGCATTGCTGCACAAAATGGCCGTGAGAACTATGAATAGAATAATATTGTCCGTCTTTCACATGTCAAGCTACTGGTGCAATTTCAATGAAATGTCACATACGTGACCATACATAGACATATGTTTTTGTGACAAAAACCCTTCTTGTTATATATAAAGTTTATATCTGTGTCAAGTGAAACATAATTACCATCAATTAGCTTACAGTTACCTAATGGAAACTGCAAATTTTACTTTTATGCATATTTTATAACTGTAAACAAGTATGTTTATGTAAAATCTGAAACCAAACCAGCACACAAAAACTGTTAACATATGTCATAAACGACATTGTCTAAAGCGCCTTCTCTATGTAGTCTTCACCAGTGCGAACACACTTCTTTTGGCGTGATAAACATTTTAAAGAACTGCAAGTTGCTTGCAAGTCTTTTTTTACTTTCCGTACTTATTATTACCATTTCGTATTAAAACTATTTAATATAACGCTAAATCTTTTGAGCTGAAACATAAACCAATATAAAGAAATCAATTTGGAATATTAATCAGCGTTGATAAATTTAGTCCTTCGGGCACCTGGTGAATCAATATTATCCTCTGTCTGGTCATATCTAAGACACACACGTGTCTGCAACCGGATCGTGACTCCCTGGCTTTCTTTCGGCGGTGGTGTGCCTGGTGTTTTCCAAATTGACAAGTTGACCTTTGTTTCTTGGTCATAATGTCATCCTAAATGATTATCCTGTATAGAAGCTCATCGCCCTTTAACATCGTACTCGTATCGGTCCAGAAATTTGTATGGTTTAAAGAGAGCAAATTTTGTCTTGGCGTCATATGATATTGAGTGCGCCGCCCGTCAAGCATGTTACCTTGGAAAAGCTTCAATTTTTTAAGCAGGCAAAAACGATTCACGTTGTAGAGCGTTTTTAAAGATGGTATTCATATTAAACTATATTCACTCAAGTGACTATAAATAAAGCAGGTATGACAAAAATCTCTTTACTTCTGCGACAACCCTTATATATAAAACATTTGTTTTTCATTGAAATGTAACAGCTAAATGTGATGAGCACCATAGAAACACACTAATTTCACAAATTTCAAATACAAAGGCAATAGGAAAAGTTTAAAATTCCATTATGAAAAAATATTAAAGCCTTTCCGTGAGTTTGTTTAGGAATTTTTGTATCATAGTTTGTAGACCATTCTGTTGAAAATATGACATAGTTAAATCGTTTACATCTACAAGCACATCATGTTAACTGAAGTGCAGTCATATTCAGATGCTCGTACATTGGTTACTTTTTCTATGGTTTCATATTGTGATGACAGGGAACGTTTATATATTTTGCCTAGATGATACAAAAGAGTGAAAGAAAATCAAAGCACTCACAATCTGACGTACTCGGGGGTTATGCCCCTCGTACAAACCAGATAGCCCTGCGTTTCAATGCTCTTTCTATTATTTAATGTTGCGGCAGTGTGTATACATCTACATAGAAATGTACACAATGCTATCATTATTCGTGCAATTATATTTCTTTGCATAAACTTGATAATTTTAGCCCAGTAGATATAAATATATCCGATATTGTCCTGAATTTGTTTACTTTTCAAATTTTGACATATATTGTTTTATCTGTTTCAGTAAAGAAATCACTCGTTGCTTCTGATGGAAAAGTTTTCAAAAGAACAAAATAATTAAGCTTGATTTATAACTATCATATTTCTATATGTACAACTCATTTATAAAAGAGTTCATTAAAAGGCCATTAAAACAATGTTATTCTATGGGGCTACTCATAAAATGTTCATTGCACCTCTTACTCTAAGAGAAAATGTTAAAACATTCTAAGATAATAAGAAGGAATTGTTTCTTTGTGTGTGTGTGTGTGTGTGTGTGTGTGTAAAACATGGTTGGAAGTAAGAAAAAGTAAATATTATAACCTTGTTTCCTTTTTACGTAATCGTAACGTCTCATATACATCTGATGTACACCGTCTAGTTCCTTTTTCTTTTTACCCTCTAGTGACGACACTCGCTTAACTCATTCGACCCGTACGCCGAGTATAGTCGTCGTCTTTATCTGTTATCGTGTACCGCGCGCCGAGTATAGTCGTCGTATAAAATTTATCGGCTATCCCGCATGACGAGAGAAGTCGTCGTGTATTGAACTACTACTGTATACCGCGTGACGAGTTATGTCGGCGCATTTCATTGGTTGTTTCGACGGGTTATATTTAGATTTGAGGTATTTTGACCAATCAGGAAACGCGTTATATGTATAGTATACAGGTTTACCTATACGAAAGTGAAAATTTTATCGAAATATCTCTATCTGAAAAAAAGTTATATTGCGTTAAAAAAATGGAAAATCGGAGGAATTTATTTGACATTATGTTTGATACGGACACGGAAAATGGCGCAAATTCGGATTGTGACATTAGTCTCGATAGTGAAAGTGAGATAGAATCAATCGGATAGATCGAGTGACAGTCAAAATGAAAATGAAAGTGCGGACGAAAATGTGGAATATTCTCAGTGGAAGACAAACGATCGGTCAGAATTGCCTAAGAGACCATTCACAGGCCCAAATCCAGGACCTAGTCTACAGATCTTGATTCGGACTCAAATGAATTTGATTTCTTTGAACTGTTCTTTTCTGTGTTTCTTATTGAGCTACTTTGTAGACAGTAATTTTGATTTTGTCTTACAAAAATATTAAGTTGATCTTTTTTCATTCCTTTTATCCAGAAAAGTAACGTAATTGAAAGCTCCAGAAAATAAGAGTAACTGTTCTAATGTAAGAAATACAAAAATGTAAAAAAAGGTTACAGTTTTTGTATATATTTTGTAATTATTTTTATATTAATATTATATATAATTTTTATAATTATTATATATAATTCTAAAATTATCTAAAATTAATCCACACATATAACAATTTTCATTCATATTTCATAAATCGATTATTTTTTCCGGCTCATATTTTCTTACTTTTAGACACAGAAGTAAAGATAAATTATTTATTGTTTTCTTTGAAATTTTCTTTCAAAAAAAAACAACAGGAAAATAAAAGTTTTTTTTTAATGAATATGAATGTATATACACCTCTGCACCATAAATGTTATATTTCTTGTCTGTTTTTATGAGCTCCATAACATAATACTTATATTTGCTCATTAGTCATTACTAGATTTATTTGCATAATCCTTCCAAAGTATTCATTTCTAATTTGTAAATTAGCAGTAAATTTCTCAATATATTTTTTAAATTATTATATTATGGAGAAGAATGTTTTAATAGAAATTTATACAATAAATAAAGTTCTTTATTACAAATAAACTGATTTTATGTTGAAATCTTCTTTATTTTATTGATAATAAATCAGTCCAACATGTTGCCATAGTGATGGAAGTTACACCACTGATTAGGTAATTTTATTGCCAATATTTATGTGTCATTTCAGCTTGATTGGATTAAAAATGAGATTGCCAGAGGCAAATTACATAATGCACCCCCTATTATTTATGACCTGTCAATAAAACAGTGCAATATCCCTCAGGGAGACAGGTTAGATAAAATCAATAAGGTACCTAGGAGTTGGCTTATCAGTTATCAGTAGGGTTTAACTGGTAGACAGTGTACAGGGTTGAATGAGTTAAAGTTACAAAAATAAACATGTCAAAGTACATTATGATATTGCGCAACAGATAACTGACTTAATAGTTTCACATCTGTTGTAAACGATTACAAGTACTTAGAGATTATTACAATGTTGTTTTATTTAAGCTATGAGTAAATAACAAAGTTTTGGCCAATTGCAACACAATTCACTAATTTGACCTGCAGTGTCAAATAAAGGTCAAGTTCAATACTACTCTTTTAACGTTAAGTCCCAAGGATTGCTGTTCACAAATATGAAGACAATCCATTCAATAAATAAAAAGTTGTAGCCAATGACAGCAAAAAGCTGTGAAATTACAAAATTTTAACCTTTAAAGCCAAGATCATTTATAGGTCATGGCCAATATTTAGTTACACATTTTAAGACATTTTCCTTATGCTCAAGCAAAAGGACAATCTATACTTAGATTAAAAAATTATAGCCAATTGTTTAGGGGATTGTTGTGTTCATGTATGAAGAAGATTTGTTCATAAAAACAAAATTATAGCCTATTACAGTCACGCAAAATTTAAACATTTGACCTTTAATGATAATGTTACTTTTGAGATTACGTGCATTTGTTGTCATAGCAACCATATTGTTCATTATATAAAGAAAAAAAGTCTGCCATCTATCCTTATTTCAAATTTCATAAAAATATTTTCAGTAAACTTTTGAGTTACTAAGGGATCAAGCTTTTGCGGACTGAGTGACGGACCAATTAACGGACGGTGGGCAAACCTTATGTTCTGTTGTGTCAAACCGGTAGGTGACTATTCATAAAAGGGAAAAACACATCAGCAAGTTCTTATGTCAATGAACTTTGATCTCTAGGCCAGTTTTATCTTTTGTTATTACAGATCTAAGTGATCTTGACCTTTACGCTTTTCGTCTAAAGATTGGTTTGGCTGGTAGAAATCATTCAGGCGCATCTTAATACAAAGTTTGAAGTTCCTAGGCTAATGAAATTTGGTTTCAATTTTAGTTTTATGTTTTGTTATTGCATGTTGCAGTGACCTTTTACCAATAAAATGAGGGTGATGACAGGATTCATTCGCTTATAATGTTTCAATGTAATAGCTTTATTTTTATTGAAGTTGATGACTGTAAACGAAAGGTAAAACTTTATAACCAATGCAGACGCATGTTTCATGACAAAAGCTCCGCTTTATTTTCGGGGAGTAAAGCTTAACAATAATATAATAATTACCAAACAGACAAAGCAAAATATGCCAGTACATATTAAGAACTATTGCTCAAAATGCAACTTTGAATCTTCTATTGATACAAGTTCAATGCAAGTTTGATTCAAATAGATAAACAAAAATGTGAGATAGGCAAGTAAATAAGCAATTTTGGTCATTGACAGGTCCGAAAAACACGGTAAGATCAGGCCAGATCATATATACTGGTGATATTAATTCTGCTAAAGTTTAATTTAAATAAAATAAGACAGAAAACTGATATCGTGTAATCACAATTGCATGACGGACAAAGTTGGTCGCATAAGAGCTAGATAAAATATTGTAGGTTGACTTATATGAAATTTGTCATTATTATATATATCATAAAACTGGTTTACTTCCTGCAGTGATAAAACGTCTGTTTCCAATTTCCCCACTCTTTCTGAAACGTCTGTTTCCAATATCCCCACTCTTTCTGAAACATCTGTTTCCAATTTCTCCACTCTTCCTGAAACGCCTGTTTCCAGTTTCTTCACTCTTTCATATAGTATTTCACTGTGTCTGTCAAACACTTTTATAGCTTCAAGAAGGCCCTTTTGTATAGTCTCCTTAGCTTGATCGCTGACATCTTGAAACTCTTGTTTTTGTTTGCTTGTTGCATGTTGCAAACATTTTACCATCTCTTTCTGTTCGTCACTAATGAAATTCTTTGCATCTTGAATCGCCTGTTCTATTTCCTCTGATTTCAGGTTAACGGATGCTAATGCCTCTCTACATACCTCGACCTCATTGTGGGTGGTGATAACAAAATCACTTTGCTTCAACTGGTAACAAACAAAGGTAAATTAGAAAACAAGAGGGCCATGATTGCCCTGAAATTGCTCACCTCTATAAAGGCCAATTTTAACCTTTGGGATTTTTTTAACCAACTTGATAGACACTCACTAGAAAATGTTTCTCATGCCAAATATTTAAGCTCTAGCTCTTTCTGTTTTTTAAAAGAATATTTTTGAAGTTTTACTTTATAGATATAAAGAAAATCAATAACCCCCGGGTCGGGGCCAATTTTGACATAGGTTTTTTATTTGAACAAACTTGGTAGACACTAAACAGACACAGTTTCATGCCAAAGATTTATGCTCTAGCTCTTTTGGTTTTTTTTTAAAAGAATATTTTTGAAGTTCTTACTATATACATATAAGGAAAATGAATGACCCCCGGGCCGGGGCCAATTTTGACCTTAGGGCTTTTATTTGCATAAACTTGATAGACACCCATCAGACAATGTTTCATGCCAAATATTTAAGCTCTAGCTCTTTCGGCTTTTTAGCAGATTTTTGAAGCTTTTACTGTATACACATATGGAAAATCAATGACCCCCGGAGCGGGCCAATTTTGACTCTAGGGCTTTTATTTGAACAAACTTGATAGACACTCACAAGAAAATGTTTCATGCCAAATATCTAAGCTCTACCTCTTTGGGTTTTTTAAAAGAAGTACTTTAAGTTTTTGACTGTCGGTTGCCATGGCAACCAGAGTTCTGCATGAAATAAAATTTGTTGATCAAGTTTTAAAGGTGACCACCAAAGAACCATTCCTGTGAAATTTGGATGAAATTGGATGAGCGGTTTATGAGGAGATGTCGATTAAAGTAATAGTTAACGGACGACAGACAGACGGACGGACGCCGGACGAAAATTTATTACAACAAACAACATAATGTTAAACATAGAAAAGCATTGTGATATAATTGTGAAAAATATATCGAGCAATATATTCGCTTTTTTTAAGAGGTGTTTTAAAGCGATCTTAGTATATGCCACAACAAAGTATTTTTAGCTTCTGCTTGATACATACATACCTTATAGAATTTCTAAGGTGATGGACCTTGATGATAGAGCTTATATTGGTTTGGGCCAAATGCTTTTGTTAATGGTTACTGGTTCAAAATAGACTAGATGTACTATTTTCAAAATTTATTCCGGAAAATCTCCTGTATACATTTCATTTCAGCAATTTCTGTCCACAATTATAGCAATAAATTAAGGTTAAGGTGATTGTGTCTTTTGGTAGCTAAAGTATTTCAAGCGCAAAAGATTTGAAGAGCTTCCTCAAATTATAAGAACTAAGCTCTATGGTAAGTTGAAGGTAACTATAAAATAACATCTTTTCAGCTAAGTTCAGGTTTAGTCTATCTAGATTTGACCTCTTATTGAAATTCGTATGTGATATTTACATTTTTTTGTTTTTGTTTTTAATTCGGACAATTCTATATCGAATTTTTAAATTTCTTTCATTTTCTCTTTTGTATTTCTGCATTTTCTATAATATATTAAAATTTGTGATACACAATATTACACAATACAATATCTTAAGGACCACCATAGAAATTGAGTTTGTTTTAACTATTTTGTGTTATTCTTGATATATAATGCTGATTGGCTATATATCAATTCATACATTCATCTCTCTCTTGTATGATTATGATTTGCCAGTGTATGTAGAAATCTAATATCATCTTATATAGGGACGTCCGCGGCTGAGTGTGTTTGACCTTAAATAATACACAAATCATATCTTACCTAATCTTTGCTGTCTAATTATCAAATATGCAAGGTAGTATTTATATTAAAAATATTACTCAAAATGCATTTGGTTTCATTAGAAACATATTCAATTAAACGAAAAGTAGTTTATATAAATATATTTAAGATTTCAAAATTATACACAGTCAAATATTTCAAGAAAAATGACATTTTACTGTAGTTTAGCCAAAAAGGAATTCACTATGGTTTGCAAATTTTGATACACACTTGTAATGTTGATTTGACAAATACACTTTACAGCAATGTTATTCACGCTTTATATCTACAATAACAAAAAAAGATTGAATGAAGAGCAAGTCGGACCCATCAGTACAATTCTTATCTGTACAACATTCCGGTTAATCTTATGAATGTATACGTTTCAACATTATTTCTGATTTATTAAAATATAAACAAACAAGACACAGAAATACTAACATTTAGTAATCATTTAATGCAACCGTTTCGGCTACATGCCTTCATAAGTACATAACATAATAAAATTATCTGAAGTTACGCCAAAACAGAGCACGCTTAAAACGCGTGGACATGTTACATGGCGTTTAGGGCATAAATGCTATAATATGTAGATTTTTTATGTTATTTAAAGTTTGCTTTCGTTTTTCACCATTTATAAGTACTTTAACCGTCGTACTTTAGAAATAATAAGAAATGAAAATCTAAAATAAAATAGATCCCTTGAAGCATTAATTACATCAAAATAAGATGAAAACAGTAGACCGAAGGTTTGATTGAGTCTGTTCAAAAATTGACGAATTAATTTTTGTAATTGATTTTAATCTTATAAGTTTTACATAATAGAAATCTATATTAAAAAGTCAGGGTATTAGTCTATCACTGTATTTCTCGAAAAATAGATACGATTTTATAACTATAACAACTTCTGATATGTTATCCATCATATTTAAACATAACTTGATAAGTTTTATATTAGAACTTTCAAACAATGGTATTTATTTTATTGAGGAAATTATTTTATCATAAAAAACACATCATTTACCTGTTTAAGCTTGTTGACAGCTTGTCGAGCCTCAGGAATTCCTTTCAGTTCTTTTGGATCTTCAAGAATTTCAATGACATCATCTATACATTCAGCCAATTCCGTGTCTTCGATTTCCATGGTAGGTGAATGAAATAATTTGTTTCTTCTTTCTCGCACCTAGACGTTTAGTCAAGAGTTCTTTTTGTATTGTCATAATATCAAAGAAAAGAATAATTATATTTGTAACAAATTATATTTTGTTAACCCCAAACAATTATTGGGTGAATAAAGCAGATAAATGTTTTGCATGAACTTAAATATATATCCATATGTTATATATATATATACCATATTGTTCTTTTTTAAATACATTGTTGCCTTCATTTAAGAAAACAAAACATGCGTGTCATCATTGCTTTGGAGATACATTGCTAGAAATAGTCACAATTCTGCAATGCAACAAGAGCGATATGTCATCACATGTGTCGCCTTATTCAAGGGTCATTACTCCGTCAAAATCATTCAACTGAAAAACCGTTCTATATGTCGAAACACTTAAGGTTCTAATAAATCATGTAACATTTCATTCAAATTAAGTTATCAGTATAAGAGTAGTAGTCTGGGCAAACTTTTAAAAAAAACACCAAAAAAAAAAAACAAAAACAAAAAAACAAAAAAAAAACAAGAACTGTCAGAGGACAGCGACGCTCGACTATTTGAAAAAGTTGTCAAAAGGGTATTTCATTTAGTATAATAATGCTTTCCTATATATATGAATAGATAAGATTGTCCGTAAAGGTACAAAGGCTTGTTACTAAGATGTTGTATCGAGTAAACCACTGCTTGATTATTACGAATGCATAAAATTGTCACAAAAAAAGGCACAAACCCTTCAGTAGATATGGAAATACCAGCTTACACGCAAAACCTTTACCACAGGGACGCCGACAAATGGGCTACTGCATTAGCTCGATTATTCTGCGAATAGTAGAGCTAAAAATCATTAAAATTGAACAATCGAAAGAAATGACGACGATATGCACAACTAGACTCGGGACTGTTCGTTCCTATAAAAAATTGGATGAAATTGCATCAGTTATTTTTAACGGAGAGGTCCTGACAAGACGGACAGACAGATGACGGAGAAGCTATCACTAGTAGCAAGCAACATAAAAGTCGGTTATAAGCTCAAAATAGGTTCGCATTTTTACCCAAGCTGATTACTACATGCCAAATATCAAAGAGTTGGGCATTTTAATTTCATACAAGGAAACTGGAGTGAAAACTATTTGTCTAATTAAACTACGTTTTCACAAGCTTGGACATTTTTTGTCCCCAGGGGCGTGATTTATGTCACTTTTGTGGAAAACCACGAAGCAATGCTACATGCCAAAAAATCTAAGATCTGGGCTCTATAGTTTCATACAACAAAAATAAAGTTTTTTTTCTTTATGTCTATATAAACGAAGTAACCTTCCGGGTTCGGGGCAACTTTGTTCCCAGGGGAATGGTTTTTCTCTTGTAGAGAAATAGAAGGGATATTAAGTGCTAAATATCTTAGCTCATGCGGCCTTCTTATCCACCAGACTAGAATCATTTATGTAAGTTTAGTAGAGGATCAAGTAAGGATCATTCCTGTGAGGCTAAGTAAAAATCCATCAGGTGGTAAAGGAGAAGATGTTGTCTAAAAAAAATTTGGACATCTACGAAGTACAGACACACTGCCATTACAAAAGCTCATCTCTGAGCACTCAGGTGAGCTTAAGCCTCCTGTGTTTGTTCATACACATAATATTCAGAATGATATCTTAAATTATACATTCGGAATGACTTTTACAATATGATTTTATGTTATTTTATATCCTGAACAAAATTGTTGACTTACCTTTATAAAAAGATTTGTTCCAGTCATGGAGCATGATAAATGAGAGTGAAAATTAGTGTCATTTATGACGACATGAAGTATTCCAGATATGTCTATATCAGCTGCCTTTGTCTTGTCTGAATATCCAGGTGCATTGATGAAACATTTGGCAACCTCCCATGGTTCAGTACACCATTTTTGTATGTCTGTATTTGCCCAGTTTGGTGTTGGCGGAGTCGATCCGTGGCTTTTTAATACTTCTTCCATAATGTGATCACATATATGAAGACGACATACTTCTTTCTTTGTGCGCAAACAATTACACTTGTGTTGACCCCAGTAGCAGTCATTTTTGCCTGCAGAATTTATTATGCATGCATGTGTCGGTTTCAGGTTTCCAATAATGCACCGAGTACAGATAATACCAGATGTGTAATTAGCACTAAGAATTCTCTTATGATCTTGTTTAACAACATCATCAGCAAAACCTTCCAAACCTTGTTTAAGATATTTATATGCTAATCCACCTCTCACCCAATTTCGGAACTTCCTTTTCTTTACATCACTTTCTTGACTCATTGTTTAGATATGTCACTTATGTTAATTTATGAGTACTTCCTGTTGTCCAACTTCCGTTTTCGGTGTTCTCTGTCAAAGAGAAAAAATAATTGAATAGATTGTTGATCAGTAAAAATATTCAAGATATAACCGTTGATAATAGATCAATACATCCACTTAATAATGGTACCATTGTCGAATATTATTTCCTTAAGGTGTATAAGAATAATTAACATTCTATGATATTTTCATGTACGATATTAAATGTTTCTTTTCTTTTGGTAATAACACATCATTCTGCTTTAAGATAATGTTTGTAAAATAGAATGATGAAAACAAAATGAGAATAAATGAATGATTGCAAGTAAAATAAACTAAATATACTGTACATTTTTATGTTCCACATTGTGTCTCCCACGCCCGCTAAGATAGCAAATACTGACATGCGCATTTCATATTAACTATTTTTAAATCAACACTAATGTTGCGCGAGTATTTCTATTTGGCATATTGCCAGGTAGTTTATCTTAAAGTATTTACATATGGGGCGATACCGTTTATGTTGAAATGGGAACTAGTAACATGAACTCGATTTTTTTTCAAACTAAATAATTATGATTCTGTTATCCTAATAAAATGTTAATTAATGAAAGCTTTGTCAATTTATTTGTTGCAAATACACTGTAATATGCACGTTAAATTTTTATCTACCTATATCATCAAATTTGACGAAGAAGCAAAATATTAGAAACGTGAAAAAGGGAAGCCAGACCAACAATCGTAGAAGCGGTATGATTTAAAATTTCAAAAATACTTAAAAAATTATTACATTTGGTTAATAACTTACTTAAGTCTGTGTTAAACGTTCTTGCCCCACAAGTCTTATATAACCATGTTATATATTATTGATTCATTATATACATATTAAATAGACTGACATAAAACGTTAAATATAATGTTGATTTGATTTATTCATGAGCTTTCACAATATAGACATGTGCACTTAGATTAAATTATTAGATATTTATCGACCAGGAAATACACGGATACATTGCTTGCTCATAAATGTAATTGACACAAGATACAGCTGATTACGGATAAGGTTATCTTTAACGATGTTTAAATTTACAAAATTAATTCATAAAAAGTTTACCTTAAAAGTCGCTGTACTTTATGTGCTAGACAAATTGGTATGATTATGAAAAGGTTGCAAATAATTTACAAAATTAATTTACGGCTAGTGTTTTAGCTTCCCCTGTACAAGAACCAGTATAGTAATGACTGATTTGGCGGCGTCAGCGGTGACTCACCTACTTGACAAGTATGATATGAATTCACTTCTCTTTTTTGCTGACACAAACCATGTTTAACGTAATCTAAGCCATAAATAAAGCATTTCTTCTGAGTGACCTTCATTTAAAAGACGTGTGTTTACTGTTCAGAAAACATATTTTCTTACCAAAGAATTAATCGATGACAAACAAGTTTGAGATTTTTGTTACCGGACTAAACTTGTTTTTTTTCATTCTAAATAATATTTTGTGACGTAAAAATCAAACTGTATGTATTAAAATATTATGGAGCATTTCAATAAAGTAGATATTAGCAAATGTATTGCAAGAAAATTCAGAAATTACTATATAATTATGTGCCAACCTTTGTACCCTAATTATTCCAACATGCTATCAAAGGTCAAGCTCTGTATCTTGTGATTTTGACATTTCCTTATTAATAAATGTGTATCATTTCCCAGCTTTATTGAGTCATTTGCTTGTGATAATATATCAAAGAATGCATCCAAATGGGTATACTGAATTGATAGATCATTTTAAACGAAAATGTACGCAAATAATAATGAACAAACAAATAAATATTAACTGATTAAAAGTGAAAAAAATGATTCATAGTGAAAAAATGATTGGGTATTTTCACGAACATGACCTGATTCAACTTAATGCAAAAGTTTTAATGACATTTGTGTAACATTAGCGAAAAGTCGAAAACTAACAAAACTAACAAGTTAAAATGGCGGGCGAAAACACGCTAATTAGCGAGGGCGGGGGGCGCGGAGCGAGATTAAGAAACATAATGGCGGGGTCGCAGGACGATAACACGCTAATTAGCGTGAGCGCGGGACGAAGTTTAATAAATAAAATTTCGCAACGCACCCCCGCTAATTAGCAAATTTTCGTCCAGCGACCCCACCAAGCGAAACTTTGAGAATCAACATGGGGCGCGGTGCAAAAACATGCGCGGGGCGAAGTATAATAGATAAAACTTCGGTCCGCGCCCCCGCTGTTTTATATCTGAAATCTCGTCCCGCGGCCCCGCTTATTAGCGTGGTTTTGCTCCGAGCTCCCGCCATTTTAACTTGTTAATTCTCGACTATTCGCTTGGCGGGGCGAAAACAAAAATAACTCAAATCAGCCACCATATACACTTATGCATTTGCAGTTTTAAGTGTACTATTGATATTGTTGGAAGTCTTTATATTTTCAATGTTGTACATCACTGGTAGGTTTTTATCCTGATTGTTTTTACATTTTTTTACGGATATACTAATCCTTGGCCGAGTGGTTGCCATTCATCACTGTAGATCTGAATCACGACAGGGACTTTGGATTCTTTCATGTGAGGAAGCTATATAGCTAGCTTTCGTGGTTCTACTCAGGTGCCCGTTCGTGCCTGAAAGGATGCATGGAAGAATGTAAATGTTACTAATGTTAACTGGATTGTCTTCAAATAAACTGGAGGTACAATGAAAGTTATAATGTCATATATATATAAGGAAGAACAACATTCAGTACCCTGTGTAAGCTGAAATACTTATTAGACAGTTCATTTAACACTCATTTAATCTTGCTTTACATACTATTTAGACATTTCAATTTACTTTCAATTAATCTTTCTTTACATATAGTTGACAATTCTTTCGATTAGTGAAATTTTTCACTCTAGGGCAAATATCAAGTTTAACTTTGTGTATATTATAGATAAGAGCTGTCTCCCCCTTTAAAATATTGTTTCTTAAAGGTAGATATGTATTTGAGATGATCAATAATTCTTTCCTTTTTGAAAGGGCAAACATGGGGTTTTTAATGTTTAAATTATGGTTTTAAAACGTGTTAAATTCTAATCACCTGAGATAAGGATCACTGATGTATAAAATAATTCGCTATAAAAAGCAATAACGATATAAACAGTGTAGTATTTTGACATTCATAAAAAACACTAAATCACTATAAATGTGCTAATTGTCAACAAGAAAATGAAGCAAAATATTGTTCAAGTAATTGACCTCTAAGTTTCAGAAACTATAACTAGACAAAAAACAAACAAGCAAAACCCTTTTCATTTCATTGGCAAAATGGAAGTTTAAAGTATTTTTTCCGCAACTCTTCACAGTTTCAATCATTGTTCTTCACAAACATGGAATCTTGATGTACATTTCAATGGAAAATAAGAGTTTCATACTTATTATTCACGAACAGGTATTTTAAACATCTTTTTTATATCGGTGGTTCTACTAAGATTACTGTTCGTGCCTGAAATTATGCAAGGAGGAGTTCCTCGGCTCGACTTCCACCAGTTAAGCCAATGTATTGCCATATCACTTATACTGTGTTGGTGTGACAACCCCCCCCCCCCACCAAAAAACAAGAAAAAAACAAAAACAACAACAACAACCAAAAAACCCACACCTTCGGACGATATTCAGGGATAATATAGCAAATCGGTTTATTCCCCCTTTCGTTTAGTTATGTTGCAACGGGGATATAAAAGTCTTTTTTGACATAGATCAAGAAGAATAACTTTTTCCATATATGTATTTCATTTCTGATTATATAAAGCAAATTTACTTGGACAAGTCAATAAGAAATTAAACAATAAGAAATACATTAGCTGTACCTCCGTCGTATACATGAGCAATGTCTAGCAATTTTGATTATTGTGGTCTTAAAAATCAATTTTGCCTCTTAGAAATATTTCTACCTGAACAAAAGTAATTTATGTATGTCGGTTGTTTGTTTTCGAAGTTTTTCTCAGTTTGATTTCAGAATCACAAAGACACAATATAGTGAAATTGTCATTTAATGCTATTTAAATGACTAAATGTGAACAATGCATAATAGTAAAACATACAAATTTAAAACAACATAACATTTCAAATGAATGCAATTGTTATAAAAACAATTATGCAACAATGCAAAAAATATCAACTATTATGCATGTATGGTAAGAGAAATCAAATGTTGGTTAACCATCAAAACGCCGTTTATGCAACAATTCAAATGCAATTATGCAACAATGCAAAATAGAAATAAATATGCATGAACAAATGCCATTCAGAAAAATTGTTATCAACTAAAAATTTGCAAATACTGGTTAACCAACAACACACCTCATTTGGGAGAGGAGAGTGGGTTTTAACAATTTCTTTTTCTTAACTTTTTGTTCTTACAAAATGGCTGCTAATTTATGTTAATGTGCTATCTAAAAACTGTCCACTAAGTTACTATCCGGACAGTGGGCTAACGCCCGTCTGCTATTGCAAAACCGGATTGTAGGCTAACACCACTATATTTCTTAATTACAATAATATGTCTCATCCATAAATGTATTTATTTAAAATAAATGATAATTTATGTATGTCGGTTGTTTGTTTTCGAAGTTTTTCTCAGTTTGATTTCAGATAAACACAAAGACACAATATAGTGAAATTGTCATTTAATGCTATTTAAATGACTAAATGTGAACAATGCATAATAGTAAAACATACAAATTTAAAACAACATAACATTTCAAATGAATGCAATTGTTATAAATACAATTATGCAACAATGCAAAAAATATCAACTATTAAGCATGTATGGTAAGAGAAATCAAATGTTGGTTAACCATCAAAACGCCACATGTTGCAAACCTAGTTTGCAATATCCGCCAACAAAATAAAGTATAGTAAAAATTAAAGTTTGTCAGAGTATGTTGTTAACCTCCATATATTTCATATAGTAAACTACATAGCTTGCAAAGCATTTAGAAAAGACATCATTTTCCCCCAACATTGATCAAAATTGCTTAACATGTCTTTTTATATGCCCAAAAGAATTTCGGGCATATTATGGTATACCCCCTGGCGTCCGTCCGTCTGTCCGCCCGTTAGCAATTTGGTTTCCAGAGCATAACTTAAGTTCCATTAGGTCCAAATTATTCAAGGATGATTGTCCATATTGGATAATAGATCCCTATTGATTTTGGGGTTACAAGGTCAAAGGTCAAGGTCACTATTACCATAAAACTGAAAACAGTTTTCGGAGCATTTCTTAAGTTCCGTTTAGCCCACAATATACAAATCTCACAGGATGATTGTCCATATTAGTTAA